TTCACAACAGGAGACAACGAATTAATTCGTCCACCGTATTGTTAATTTAAGCATTGGTGAGTGTACTACTTTCTCTAGCGTATTGTTAAATTGCATTACATTTTCAGAGTTTGCCCAAAACCTTTGAATGTTAACGAGCAGTGGTTTACGTCGTCAGTATTTCAAACATGATTCGTAATTCGCTTAATACTCTTCTTCATACCAATCTTTTTTAGCTTTTTTTTCCAAATTTCGCGAAACAACGGGGATTTTATGGGTGAAATACAGAGACATCATCGATCTATCAACTTACTCTGCATTATATAGCACGACGGGTAGCGAAAATATGTACATCAGTATTTGAACAGGGAAACTGTTTAGTGTAAATTTTGTCATATCGAGTGGCACTTCCTTTATTACTGCAGTGGGCTGGGTCTGATCCTTAAGTTCTGTTGAATTCTGTAACGTAGATGGCTTCCAGGGAAAAGTTGCTTGACTGCAAGGGACATTTTTAAGGTTTCCGTATGCTGTGATCATTTAAGTGTGTCATTGCACCATGCGAAGAGAACTCACGCGATTACATTTTACTAGCAAATGGAAAGGCCTTTCATTTGCTGAACACTGTTATCATAAAAATCACATTTCCTCGATTGTGATTGGTTTAAAAAACTCTTGTTTTCCACTAATTCACTTATTAAGTTGTTATCAGTCAGTTTGTTATCAGACAGTTTAATAAGCTAATCACATTCAAAGTTGTAGTTTAAATCAATCAGTCACAACCTTGGTTTCAATCACAATGACAATATTTTAGAAGACAGAAGTAGTTTTGTTTGGAAATTGTAACTTTTAGGATTAATTGGTAATAAGACTTCATGTTGTCCAATTCGGTCAGTAATTATACTCGTGTTGCTGGAATAATTCGTTCTCTTATCATGAGGTAGCCACGCTTGATACGTTTTACCGAATAGAATAGTCCAGACGTTTATGCATGTTTTCTAGACTAACTGATCTGAGATACTACAACAGCAGGCGAAGGTGAACCTCATCTCTGTTACAGTGGGCAGATCTTGATGAATACCGAAACGGTAACAATTTCCAGAAATACACACGTTTCCTAACTGGAGAGGCTTATAAAATATGTCGGTGAAGTTGAGTCGGTGTAGACACAAATTCCGTGACTCAGTACTCTATGTTGTCACGCAACATTCAACAAGTCATCAAGGAGTCACGGAATGGTTTTACTTCAGTATTTCACTGATCATTTCTCTTTCTTTTTGTGGCATAAAGGTCGCTTATAGAATGTCGAGCCAAACTACTACTACTACAAGGAGTAATCAATAACAATGAAATATATTTTTAAAACATCCAGCACTTCTAGCCTGCGGCAAACATTACCTTATCACATGACTGGCAAGCTTAGCTGGAATGCAAAGGCGGGGCTTGGCAGTTTCCTCGTGAAATCAGCAAGTTGATGAAGTGAAAGTCGCCTTTCAGCTAAAGAATCCTCGTGTTTCATTCTTTCTGCTCCGCTCTGAACTTGTAAAACAGTTCATTATGTAAATTTCATTTAACCAAGTTGAAGTTGTACAACAGCTGTAGCTCAGTTTCATCAAACACGGACATGTGCAATTGTGGAGTAAAGGTGAAATGGAGGTAAGGTTGTAGTCAGCTAACTCAAGCGAGAATGCATCTATTAGATGGTTTTACTGGAAGCTCAAGATTTCTAACTCATGAACGCATGAGAAAATGTAATATTGCATGTTTCATTGTGGCTTAAGTGATTTTTGTAAATTGGCATTTACAGTAGTTGTTTACGTACATAAAAGATCAGCAACCTTCAATGCGTCATCACGAAAGAGAAAGTTGCCTATGCCATCATGTTCCTGTTTATCTATAGGGAGCCTTGCGCATGAATTCTTTGTTTTTCCAGTATCTCATTGTTGTCTGGTTGTTCGTTTGTTTTATTTCAATTACTTGAGACTGCTCTTTTAAAATCGATGAACTTAGAATTCATCGGTAACTGCTTGAACACAGTGCATCAACTTCAACGTAGTGAGTATCGTTTAATCGACATCAGTTTACAAATTAAAGCTAAATTCACCACATTTAAAAGCATCTCGGCCAGGAGAAATAGTCTTAATACAAGTAAACCGAAATGTTAAAGCCAAGACAACCGATATGAAACATTACTTAAACCTGATTCAAACTTTGTACGCTGTAAATTACCATTAAGGAATCGCGCCCATTGGAAAACGTCGCATGGGAAAATGCAAATAAGCTAGAAAAGAGAAAGAGAGCATGCATAACTTCACACAGGCCTGTCAATCTGACTGTCAATCATGTAATCCTCCGTGTATGCCGTGTTCCCAAGTATTGTTTCTTGCTCAGACAACCGAAACGTAGCGCTATTCATCGATGAAGAATAGAAGTAATTAATAGCGTTATCTTGATTAGTCTAAATTGTTTAAAAATCGGTCAGATGTAAAATTAAATTACCCTTCAAATGTCGGGTTTTTAATTTGTTTTAAGACTAAAATGTGGCAGATTTACAAGGTTTGACCATCAAGTTCGCCATGAAAGCAAAATAACATAATTTACAGAAATATTTCTTTTTAGCCAGTTATTGCTGGCAGTTTCAGATAACACGTTGGCAAAGTCTATTTACTTTTCAAAAAGCTTAAGTATACCTTGTAAATTTCCACTCCACGTAAGTACACGCTCAGTTCCAACTCAGCTTTACCAGCATTTCATCTCTTTCAAACAATACTAATTGCTCCAATTGTATCCCCATTGTCTCTAAAGGATGCAAAGTGAAATTTTACAAATCCCGTTTAGGAATTTGTCAATTCAGATCTTAAGAGACTGATGCTGGTGGTGAGCTTTTGCAACCTCATTCCCAGGTC